TGAAGTCCCCCTAAGGACAAGGGTGGTTGATTTAGAGGTGTCCCTTAGTTCTGCAAAGAATAATTCATCTGCATCATTGTTCTGGCCAGGTGGCCTATAGTAGACTCCCATGATAACATCTGCTTTATTTGTTTGTCCCTTAATCCTTACCCAGAGACTCTCAACCATGCCATTGCCAACTATGAGCTCTGTATGCCCCAGCCCTTCCATTACACAGTATGCCACTCCCCTCCTTGCCTGCCCTGCCTTTCCCTCCTGCAGAGCCTGTAACCGTCCAACATGGCACACTAGTCACAGGACTCATCTCACCAGATTTCACTTATGCCAATGATGTCAAATCTCTGAGACTGGGCCAAAGCTTTGATCTCCTTTTTTTTGTTCCTCATGCTGGGCACATTGGTATAGAAACATTTCAGGTGTGGTTCATTGTAGCCAACACCTTGTGGAGCAGACTGAAGGATCCCATTAGTGCTCAGTCCCTCAAGTTTTGGCGTGCCATCCCATTGCTTATCACTGGCAAGCCTGGTTTTGCCTCTTTTCCCCTTCCAGTCTAGTTTAAAGCTCCGTCAACAAGCCCTGCTAGCTCCTGTGACAGAACTCTTTTTCCCCTCCGAGAAAGGTGTTGTATAGACCATCCTATGGTCAAAAATCAGCTGTGAGCTACTACCAGAAAACTGCTATGCATCTTCCTAATGGAAAGCAAACTACCTTTGTGTTGATCTGATGGATCTGCCTGTTCCTTTCAGTATTCTTCCCTGATACTGGAAGGATCGAGGAAAATACTACCTGTGCTCTTTTCTCTGAAAGTCTTCTCTGATGACTTCCCTTACTGCGGTGGTCTATAAAACGATCATCAGTCACAAGACTCTTCAGCATGCATAGTGGACATAATAGCAGTTCCAGTGTAGACAGTCCTAACTTTAGAGCAAAACCCAATAGTATATCTAGTTTCTTAACCTGAAATATTTTGGAATTAGGTTCCTTTCATTTGATTAAACTGACAAGCTGAGAGCACTAAGAAAGGAGTCCTTTACTGATTCCCCAAGATTTCAAATAAAGCATATATTGATGTCTTGACCAAGGAGGAGCTGAAGGTAATTTGTACTGTAGCCCATGTAGCCAAAGAACTATTTAACTTCTGTTTAATACATTCCTGAGCCACCTCTTCCTAAATGGAAGTTCCAGATCTGTCCAAGTTCTATCCAAGATCTGTGCTATCAATTGAAGAGGCCTTCTCAACAGGTTAATAAGTCTGAAAATGAGAAGCTGCCCCTGGGAATTACATAGCTTATCTGAAAGTCAAGCTCTCTTCTACAGAGAATAACCTTGACTTTGTCCTGATAGATTTTTTTTTTTTTAACAAGAATTTCTTATTCTAGAGGAATAGAAGATCTCAGTACCCCTAAGAGATACAGGAAATGGCCAACCAACCATTAGATCCTGCACCAATGTGAAACCTCTTCATCATGCACATTGAGGAGGTTTATTTATTTAGAGGCTTTCAGGGAAAGGACACCATTTTTCAAATACACATCAAGTGATCATCTGCACTAACTTGTTCAGCAGTTCTGCTAGCAGTACCTGTCTGCATGTGTGTAGTAATACTTGCATTGATGTAGTATACAACAGGCAAATGGAGAAACAGAAGCCCCTCCTGTACCTGCAGATCTCGCAGCATCTCTGCCAGTAAGGTTCTGAAGGATGGAATACACCTGAGATGCTTTCTGCCCATTTGGCCTTGATTTCCACAGCTAGTTTAAATGCCTTCCCTCTGCTGAGTCATATAATACATGCTGCCATTGGAAATAGGGAGAAAGAACCCAGGAGTCCAAATATTACTCACAAATCTAGAACAATATAAGAGGCTTTTCTGTCACAGAAATGTCAGTGACAGAGTTGTGAAATTGTTGGCATCGCCTCAGCCCAACAATGACAAGTTGTCTTGGTAAGGACACTGCTGTTCAGTTTGCCACATGAGGGGAGAAACAGTTTTATAGGGCAGATGTCATAAGCAGTCAGTTACTAGATAGCGAACATAGACAATCTAATCGCCATTAGGTCAGGAGGCAGGAGAGGGGAAAGCATCTGTAGACCACTGAAGACAGTGCTAACAACACTGTAAGACTTTTACAGGAAAAATGTTACTGTAGAAATCTATACAGCTGTGAGTTACTACCAGAAAACTTCTGTGAATCTTCCTTCTGGAAAGCAAACTGTCTTTAGATTCTTAAACCACCTTACTAAGTTTGGGACAGACAGTGGACATGTTCTACACCAGTTTATTCCAAACGCTGGATTTAGGAGAAATTACAGGTTCATTAAATTTATTTCACTAGATCTTACTGAAGAAATTCTGATGACACCATCATCCACACAGGGGTATCCATGAATACAGTGATATCCGAAGTGTGTTGCTACCACTGAATGATACTTTGTGGATGCTTGAGGTGACATTAAAGTCAATCATAAGGATCTTTCTCAAGTAAACAAACATTTAAGGCAGAAACATGTGATGTGAAGTTAAAAAAAAGAGCAGATTTTCACAGCAATCTTCAGAATAAGAAAGGCTGACAAAGCACACAATCTCAGCTTTCTGACAGAAGTTTCTAAAAATCTAGAGTAGGCAAATAGTAGCTTTCTTTGGCATGAGAAGCAACTGGGATAATATCCTTTCCACAAAAGTCTTTACTTATCTGTTTACCGAAACGGAATAATAAATGGGTTTATGATCTTTGGAAATATTTTTTGTTTTGTGCTTTTTTGTCGTTTTTAAGAACTCCCTGAAGATGGATGAAGAGATTTATTTTTGTTGAAATGAACTGTGCAAACTCCAAGATTCATCAGTGTAAGGCAACATTACTCCAGATACCTAAAAACTCATGTCTCCTTTTAACTTGCAAAGTCTCTCATAAGAACCCAAAAACTGATCTGAGGTTCTTGCACACATCAAGCTGAGACTGATACAGATGACCACCTGTCCTAGTTACAGGGATAGGAGGCAGAGTTTAGCACTATGTGGGTATGACCAATATGTGTATTCTATTCCCTCTACATAATTTCTGATGAACTGGTAATGATCGATCACTTGCAGCCCAAGTGCTGAGGACATGCACACCCATCACCTCAGGCTACAAACTGGGTGTTGAACAAGATAAGGAAAGAAGCAAATCCTGTGAGGTGGGGTAGTGTTTCTTTTTCCTTAAACAAATGACTCAGCAGTGATAACCCCTCTGGGGAAGCACGTTAACATTCACACAGAGCCTGAAGGTATTCATCTCTGCTGATGGGCCATAATGGGCCATAACTGACTCAACTGCACTGATGTAACATGCAGTTGTAACATCTTAGAAGGTGTCAAAGACTCATGAAATGTTCTGTAATCCACTATTACATTATCCAGTGTAACACTCCCCACCCCAGGGGAGGTACTGGGGCATTTCCACCTAACCTAAGCGTAATATAAACTAGGATGGACCCTGTGTTGGGGGGACTTTTCTCCATCACTCAACAGATATGGACTGTGACCATCACTTCCACCAACAAACATCGAAATCGCAACAACCAAGTCTTGTTGCGAGATCCACAGGTAAGGGAACAAGCCAACCCTGGACCATGCTGCTGCTTGCTTCCCCCACTGAGAGACCCTGCACCCGCACCGCACTGTCATTGCCAGAGGTCAGCATAAAGGCAGGTAATTCCTGATTTGAATGATATAGCTTCCCAGGTTTTTTCTTTTTGCTTTGCCCCTGGGGATACCACATGGCATGCAGTGCAGGAACTGATGTAATTTTGCTTTTGTTTTAGCTGGTCAGGTTATACTCTGCCTTTATTATTGGTTAAACCAGTTCCTCTGCATCATTGTATTTTATTGCAGCTTCTTTAGTAAATTGTAACTCCAACTTGTAATCTCTCTTGGTATTTCTTCTTCCACTATCAAATGGAGGCAGTTGAGTAGGGTTTATTTCTCCCACCGGTTTTCTTTTAAACCAGCACACCATCCCACAGCTTGTGGAGTGCAGGACTTGATGAAAGAAGTGAGAGGGTTGCTGTTAGTACAGTCGGCCTAAGAAACAGGTCATCATAATTGACCTTGGCTTTCTCTAGTAATTCAACGAGCACCTATCAAATATCATTTGAGGGAAAGGAAGGGAAGAATGGGAGGAATGATAAGAAACCTCTCAAGGCCATGGAAAAGATCTGCAAAAGCAGGTCCAGAGGAGGGCCGTGAAGATGATTAGAGGAATGAAACACCTCTCCTATGAGGAAATGCTGAGAGAGTTGGGGGTGTTCAACCTGGAGAAGAGAAGGTTCTGGGAAGACCTCATTTCGACCTTTCATTACCTAAAGGGAACCTATAAGAAAGATAAGGACAGACTTTTTAGGAGGGTCTGTAGCAATAGGACAAGAGTAATTGTTTTAACTTGAAAATGGGTGGATTCAAACTAGTTATAAGGACATTTTTTACAATGAGGGTGGTGAAACATTGGCACAAGTTGCCCAGAGAGGTGGTAGATGCCCCATCCCTGGAAACATTCAAGATCAGGTTGGATGGGGCTCTGAGTAACTTTATCTAGTTGAAGATGTCCCTGCTTATTGCAGGGGGGTTGGACTAGATCACCTTTAAAGGTCCCTTCCAACCCAAACTATTCTATGATACTATGATTTCTGGAAAGCAGAATAATTTTGCTCTCTAGCCATCCCTACATATACTCCCAAACCCATTGCATTGGTCCTTTCTCAGCCCTGAACAGAGGAGCACCCTGCAGCCAACTGCTCCAAGTTCTCTCTTCCACTCAAATGGCACAAAGGAACTGTTCAGATCCTTGGTCTGTGTTTACCAGTCAACTGTGCTTTACATCAGAAAACAGAATCTAAAAATTCCAGACAAAGCCCAAAGAGGGTCTTTAAGAGGCTCCTCAGTGTGACTTAAAAAGCTGTACCCACCAACACAGGGTAAAATTCCTGTCTTCTACTGTAGAAATAATGAATGAGGGAAATACCTGAAGGCCCAACTCCAGAGAAACTTTCAGAAGAGTGATGTCTGGCAAGCTGTCCATGAGTGTTGCTATTTTAAATGCATCCTGGGCAAGTTTGAAGATGTGTGATGAGGAGTGGATATTTTTCTGAATGGATTTTAACACTGTTTCCAGCCTCTGAACATCACCTGCAAGGTGTAAACAGAACAAGCTTCCAAAACATCCTGAAATGCATTATAATTGAGCTTGCCATTGCTATGAAATAGTACAATGTTTCAGTTATCCACATTTTGCTTTTTATAAACCTTCCATAATTAAATTACATGAACAAAAGATGCAAGACAGCACAAACTCCTCTAGTGCCTGATGGTGTTTGTGTAGTACATGGCCAAAAGTCATCCTGATTTGTGAATTTTAGAAGTGATTTGTCCACTCTTGGATTTCACAATCTATATTGTGCATCAGAATAACAAAAAGCTATTTCACCAGCCTCAAATCAAGCCCATCTGGCTACCATTTATCTAGTTTAACCACTTTTCTAGAAAATGAAGTGACAAGTTTAAGTCAGTTCAGTTTGTTGTTCCCCTTTCAAGCTCCTGTCAGACTGCAATTTGAATTCCTAAACACAAGTTTTATAATCTGTTTATTCCATGAAATATTAAAAGCATACACTTAGTTAAGTAGGTAATTTACAGCAATGTACCTTTGGCTGCTGTTAGCATGGTGGATGCCAGCTCACATTGCTGGGATTCGATGTGACTTAGGGTGAACCAGCGGGGATATCGGTTTGGAGCAACTGATACAATGTGGTGTGGATGGGACATATCTCCCAAAGGAGTCGTAGATTCCAATACTCGCAACCTGAAATAAGAAAGAAATCCTCTTCCTTACACCATTATTGTATTGGGTTATTCATAAGCAAAACTAAAGCTGCAAGAACATTTGACCTTGTTTATTAAATGTGCAGTTTGGGGTATAAAGATATTGGAAAACAACTTCTTTTCTTGGAGAATCTTAAAAGTCCATTTACCAAACTTGCCTACATCAATGGGCATCTGCAGGAATTCACAGGACAATAAAGCCATTGTGCTAGTTTGGGCTGGGGTAGGGTAAATTTTCTTCAAAGTGGCTGGTATGGGGCTGTGTTTTGGATTTGTGCTGAACACAGGGTTGATAATACAAAGATGGTTTTGTTATTGCTGGGCATTGCTTACACAGAGCCAGGGCTTCTTCTACTTTTCATACTGCCACACTGGCAAGGAAGTTGGGGGTGCATGGGAGGTTCGGAAGATACACAGCCAGGACAGCTGACCCCAACTGACCAAAGGCATATTCCATACCATATGACATCATGCTCAGTATATAAAGTGGGGGGGAAGAAGGAGGAAGGGGGGGGGACACACACATTTGGAGTGATGGCATCTGTCTTCCCAAGTAACTGTTATGCCCTGCTCTCTTGGAGATGGCTTAACACCTGCCTGCCCATGGGAAGCAGTGAATGAATTCCTTGTTTTGCTTTGCTTGTGTGTGCGGCTTTTGCTTTCCCTATTAAACTGTCTTTATCTCAACCCACAAGTTTTCTGGCTTTTATCCTTCCAGTTCTCTCCCTGGTCCCACTGGTGGGGGAGTGAGCAAGCGGCTGTGTGGTTCTTGGCTGTTGGTTGGGGTTAAATCATGACAGCCATTCATTAACCAAGGCAGCAGAGAGTTTTTGCATCATCCATAGAGTTTTTTCCCCTGCCTTATTTCAGTCTTTGAACCACTGTCCTCAGGAAGGAAGATAGAGTAGTTCTCCATCATATTGAGAACAGGTAAGTATTTTCCAATATTTGGAATATACTTTCCTCACTTGCATATGCTCTAAGTAAGGGGGAGTGACATTCAATAAGTCATTCGGGTTTTGACCTTGAAATAAATAGACATACCATAAAAGACATTTTGCTGTTCAAATAAGTATGAACTAATTTTTAAAGTCCCTAAATCCTAGACTACCAATATCTAATAATGCACATGTTAATATGAAAAAAAATACTTCCCTTTTGTTTTGTATCAAGAGTCAAATCTCTTCCTTAGTAATACTGAGGCACATCTATATAGCTTTATATATGTAAAACTAAAATACATATAAATTCTCTAGCTGATTTTTTCCCAAACACAGAGGGGGGAGAAAAAAATGCATTATTAAATCATTTCAACAAACAGGAAAAATCCTAACTACTTAATGCAAAAAGTATTATTAGGTTATAAGTAACCACAAAGAGACAAAAAGCATGAAAGGAAAATATTTTGTCACTTTGAATTTCATTGTCAGCTTCTATTGTTCCTTTGCTGTGAAAAGAAAGGCTGTAGTGAATTGGTGGCTTTCACGTGATTTTGACAAGATTAGGGAACATTATAACAAGCACAAGCAAATTTAGCATTCTTCATTTTTTTCACTTTCAAACATCAATTATTTAGCTAGGTTTTAGCAAAGTTACTTTGTGATGAAACATCACTACTGAAGTCTGACTCACAAAGACTGGGTTGAAATTCAGGCTTAACAGGGAATTAGCCAAACTAAACCAAACATTCAAGTTCAGATTCCAAGTGAGCAGTCAACTATGTCACTGCAGATCCACATCCTCCAAGGCTGTACTTCATATGTTTCAGTGTTGCAAGCAGAGAACTGTAGACAGAAGTGACCATCAAAGATAGTGCACCCTGTCCTTGCAGACCTGAAGTGCATGAAAGAAAGGCCTTATGGTCTCAGATTCTATTGATTTCACACTGAGTGTTCCACATACTAAAAGAGGATTAAGAAGAAAAAGAAATGGCAACAGATGATTTTGAATGCAGAGAGGCAAAATACTCCAGAGTTGTCATCACGGGAAGTTAACTTTGATAAATGTTTAAGAGGAATGGCATACTGCCGTCACATTCACTGAAGTATTCAGTGCACCGTGCAAAGCTACTGATAGATGTCTATTCTAGCCTTTTAATGTTGTTTCAGTAGTTTAGTTTAAGGAGGAAAGCTCCCCACAATCTCTGAGAAACACTTAAGGTAGTGACTGAAATGAAATACAGGGACACATCTACTTTATAAAATTAATCTTTTAAAAATTCTAATTCTAAAAATTCTGATTCTAAAATTATAATCATAAGTAACCAGTATGCAAAGTCACTTTTCATATTTCTTAGATTCTTTCCCCAACCTCTACTATTAGACACTCTTGGAGGCAAAAAAGCCCAAACAATCTAAGTAGACCTTTGGGCTGACTTGATAGTAGCTGTTTTGTTCTTATGAATGCCCTCCCATTTAGTCCTTTGAACATGGGACTATTTTCTCCCCATTTAGCTTTCTAGAGTGTGCTAGTTTTGGCTGGTGTAGAGTCAATTTTCTTCACACGCTGGTATGGGGCCGTGTTTTGGATTTGTGCTGAACACAGTGTTGATAACACAGAGATGGGTTTTTTATTGCTGAGCAGGGCTTACATAGAGCAAAAGCCTTTTCTGCTTCTCATACTGCCATGCTGGCAATGGGACTGTGGGTGTGTATTGGGTCTGGCTGAGTTGGAGTTCATTTCCCCACAGTAGCCCCCACAGGGCTGTGCTTTGCATTAGGAGCTGGAAGGGTGTTGATAACACACTGGTGTTTTGGCTACTGCTGAGTACAGCATCAGCACTGTAACATTCCTTCCTCAGTTGAGGGTAAGATCCTGGGAGGGGACACAAGTAGGCCAGCTGACCCAAACTGACCAAAGGGATATTCCATACCATATGACATCGGCTCAGATATAAAAGCTAAAGCAAGGAGCAGGAAGGCAGGCATTTTTTGTCTCCAGTGGCTGCCTTCTGAGAAACCATCACATGTGCTGAAGCCCTGCTTCTTGGAAGTGGCTGACCATCGCTGCTCATGGAAAGTAGAGGATAAACCATGCTATCTTTCGCTTTTTGCGCACGCAAGCTTCTGCTTTACTTTTTGCTTTAAATAACCTGCCTTATCCAAACCCACGAGTTGTTTTTTCCACCTTACTATCTCCCCTGTCCAGCTGGGAAGGGGAGTGATAGAGTAGCTAGGTGGGCACCTGGCATTCAGCCAAGGTCAACCCACCACAGTCCTTTCTGGTACCCAATGTGGGGCAAGATAAAGTCATTTATATATATATATATATGTCTACCTATCTATCTCATGCTATAGTAATAATAGCTATTGAATAGCAAGCTCCTGTGCAGGACACGGAGTTTGCTGGTTGCACTGCTTATCACTTAATTTTGCTAAGTTTTGGGAACATACTAATCTAAACAATGGCTCTGTGCTTTGCTTTTACACTAATGACCTTGTTATGCTTGGGGAGTTGTTATCTTCTGGGGAGCTATCTGGGAATGATGGAGGAATACACTTTCCCCTCCCCCCCCAACATTGATATAAATGGTTTTATAATGAAGTCTCCCATGCTCCTTGCTAATCCTTATGTGAGCTGTTTGGTAATGTTACTTTTACTAATACTGTCAGCACATTATGGAGTTCTTGGAATCTGGTGTTATCCTGGTGTAGGAGAAAACAAACTTTAGGTGATGATATATTGGGATGCACCCTGAGGTGCCAAGTTCCTGGGTGGCAGGGTGTGTGGAAGGATTTGGGCAGGTTCCTAGGGCATTTGACACCTCCTATTTCCTGGGACTTCACACCTGAACAGGTATTCGACCCTAGCAAACTGACCTGATGGAAGGGTGCCTTGCCTACCCTAATCAAAGCCAGCAGCTTCTTGTCCTGTACTGGGGCCTGGCCTGTGCTTATTGAGCCACAGTTCAATACTCTCAGGAGCCCCTGGTGGTCTAGTGGTAAGGGCGTGGCGCTGTCACAGCCAAGGTCCGGGTTCGATTCCCGGTCAGGGCCACTCCCGGGCAGGTGGAGCTCGTTAGCCCTTAAAAGGCAACCCATCTACGTCCTAAGGACCTCGCTGCCACCGTCCAAGCTCGCTTGGCCCCGGCAGATGAACCTTAGGATTAAAGGGTGGGCTCAGTTCCGCGCACACTGTGTCTCACCTAAAAAAAAATCCAATGTTCAGGCTGGAAGGTGTAAAGACCTTCCCCGGATCTTCGCTTGCGAAGACTGGCCATTATTATATCATTATTTATCAATACTCTCAGAAGACTGTAGTGGAGGCAGGGATACAAACTGCAATGGAGGACACTATGGCTTAGGTAGGGACTCACACCACAACAACTACAGTCATTGCCCCAGCAGTGAAAAGGAAGAAATGGATAAGGCAAGTTACAGGTCCATATCAGCGATTAGTAATGGAGGAAAAGGAAGAAGGAGAAGGAGTAGAAGGAGGGGAGTGGGTAGATAAAAAAGCCAGTCCTTCAACAAAGGAAGTCAGACAAATAAAACAGGAAACCGAAGTTACCTGGTCCCTGACCTCATCAGAACGCCAGGACTTGCAGAAAGATTACAGCCACCAGCCTGGTGAGCAGATTCCTACCTGGTTGCTTCGATGCTGGGACAACAGGGCTGATAGTCAACAACTGGAAGGTCATGAAACCCAACAGCTGCGATCCCTTGCCAGAGATTGTGAAATTGAAAGAGGAACTGGAAAGGAGAGAAAAATTTACAGTCTTTGGAGACAGCTCCTCTCAGGCATGAGGGCAAGGTATCCATTCAAGGAAGATCTAATGATCTCCCCAAGAAAGTGGGCCACAGCAGATGAAGGTATCCAGTACTTGAGAGAATTAGCAATGCTGGAAATAATCTATAGTAACCTAAGAAGGGATGACACCCCCAAAACCCCAGAAGATGTTCCTTGCACGATGGCCATGTGGAGGAAGGTGGTTCAAAGAGCCCCTGTGTCATATTCTAACAGCCTGGTAACAGTATATTA